CGACATCTCCATCGCCAGGAAGATTCGTGTATACCGCGCATTCATCCGGTGAGTCCGCCTCTATAGGTGTGAATGCTGGGCTTTACGCATTAAAGATAAAAAAAGACTGGAGGTATTTGACCACCGCTGCCTGAGGACCATCCTTCGACGGAAGTACACCGAATTCGTCTGACATGAGACAATCCGCACTCGCTGCGACTGTATCGCGAGGATATCTCAAAGAATCCAAGAAAGACGACTAAGATGGTCTGGGAACGTTCCCTGTCGTGCGCCTCACGAGCTTTGTCACGCTGCCCTCGAGCTGACGCCGCAGCCCACCTGGAGGCGTCGAAGAGGTGGACAACTGAAGACTTGGCCCGACACCGTTCGTCAAGACATAGAGGCAGTTCTTGGACCTTTGATTTTCGGTCTCCGTTGCTGGAGAAGAGAATGGATGCAGCTTTGGAGATCCGTTGCCACCAATCGCCCTGCATGCAGAGGTACCGTTTGTGACAACATTGAAGCCAGCCAGATTGGGCTACAAGCATGGACGTTTGCAGGCTTCGCACTTCGACGCCCCCCACAAAAATGATCTGATCATAGTTTTGAGTGTAACATCGACAGTATAAGCTGTCAAACGCGGAATACCTCTTGCCACTGGGATTCAGTACTCGGGCCAACTGGGCTTGTCTGTACGATAGAAGCAAAAAAGGGAGAGTTACAAGAAGTGGTTCGGTTCAGTCTCCGGAATATCCGATCATTGAACGCCCTATCCCAGTCTTTGCATCTAAGTCCTCTGGGGGGATTATTTGTTAGTGTGTAGTTGTGTTTTCGAGGATCAGAAAAAAAGGTTTTGCATATGGAAACAGTTAACCAACGGGGTTGTAGTTCGATCTGCAAGGAAAAGAAACTTTCTATGGACCCTGCCCTGATCTTTGTTGTTGGCTCAATGTCTTCTATCACCCTGGGCCTCATTTTGGAAATCCTTCTTCAGTTAAAGATCAGCAGAGCATGAATCGCCTCCTCGTTTCTCAAAGACGCGTGTCACATGCTTTTAACTGTGCTGCTACGATCGCATGACCTAACGCCGTCAAATCACACCGGATGTAAAGCGCCAAATTTTCGGCGGGGGGAGGGGGGAGGCCTGCGCGAATGCTCGACAAAAGTGCAAGAAACTGATCTAAGCAGCTTCTTCTCTGTGTGGCAGCAAGGCAAGGCCAATTGTGCGGAGTTCCTCTCACCGGGCAGGCTGAAGATTTCTTTGCTTTCCTCAGGTGTGTCTTGGGATTCTGTCCGGATGACTCTTCAAAACTATGGAAAACCTTGGTAATGGGTGGCGGCAATTTCCGCTGTTACACTGGAGTTGAGCTACCACCACCTGATGACGTCCAGCGAGACAGAAAAGGCCTTCGTGTGTGTGCTCTCCGTTTGTCGGTAAATACCATTAAATATGGAAAACCTTTTTGGCAGGGCTGTTACAGCACTGCCGTCTTCTCCATATCGGAGTTTGTAGGTGATTCGCGGGCCATTTTTATTTGAAATACGATCGTTGCCGCAGGACTGCTATTCTCCTGGTTCACTCAAAGCTACGGCGTCTCCGCCGACTCGTGTGCCCTCTGGAAATCGTCTTTTCTTAGCGGCAACTACTGCCATCCAGTAGATATTTTCCCTCACAGAGGTTTTACCAACCACAGCTTGGATTCGAACCCTGGGTCACACGTTCAGAGCAAACCGCCCTAGCCAATGTCATCACCGAACCCAACTTTGCGGTAGCCATAACGGGGCTCAGGATCTCATCGGAAGCGTAGTTAGTATCATCACATGTGCTGCCCCACCTCGTCATTCATGGAGTGTAACTCTTAAATTGCGTAAACATAGCTACTCATGTTTGCTCAGTAGTATCCATTCAATTCCAAGCAGGGTAGAATCTGTCCTAAAGGTCAAAGGAAAATTTCCTGAAAAGTAAATTGTGAAATATATCAATCAGTCAGTATCAGTCAGTACATTTGCAGTAAATGACCGAAGCCCTTAAAAACTCCATTGAAATGGTATAGAAATGCAT